AAAAAATTCAGGTCATTTATCTTCTTCTATTCCTTATACTGGTTGTGAGTCTATTCAAGTTGGTAATGGTCAGCTTTTACCTGTTTCTCATATTGGTCATAGTATGCTCTTGTCTAAGGATCATTCATTTCAACTTAATAATGTCTTGGTTTGTCCAAACATCTCTAAAAATTTAATTTCTGTTCGTCAATTTACAAAGGATAATAATTGTAGTGTTGATTTTGATCCTTCTGGATTTTCTGTTAAGGACTTACAGACGAAGAGTGTCCTCCTTCATTGCAATAGTTTGGGTGGTCTATATTCCTTTTCTGGCAATTCTGAACAGTCTCCAGCAGCTTATCATGTGTCTATTTCTCCTCAAGTTTGGCATTGTCGTCTTGGTCATCCAGGTTCATCCTCATTCAATCATTTAGTTCGTCGTGGTTTTCTTCCTACAACTAAAACAGTTGGTAGTTCTAGTTTATGTCATGTTTGTCAATTAGGTAAACATGTTCGTCTTTCTTTTTCAGATTCTGTTTCTGTGACAACTAAGCCATTTCAGTTAGTTCACAGTGATGTTTGGACTTCTTCAATTTGTTCTTTTGGTGGTTTTAAATATTATCTTTTATTCTTGGATAATTTTAGTCATTATATTTGGATTTATCCTCTCAAGTCTAAGTCTGAAGTCTTTTCTTGCTTTACTAAATTTTCTGCATTTGTTTCTAATCAATTTGGTGCTCATATTCAAGCTTTGCAGTGTGATAACGGAAAAGAATATAATAATATGCAGTTTGCCTTATATTTTCAGAAACATGGAATACAATTGAGATCATCTTGTCCCTCGACTCCCCAACAAAATGGGAAAGCCGAGCGCATGAATCGAACGATCGCTAATATGCTCCGTTCTCTTTTATTTCAAGCAAATCTACCTGGACAATTTTGGGTGGAGGCATTACATGTTGCTATTCACCTAATAAATATTTTACCTACTTCCAGGTTGCAGTTTCAAACTCCTTATGAGGTTCTTTATGGAAAAGTGCCCTCTTATGATCATTTACGAATTTTTGGATGTGCTTGCTACCCAAATTTATCAGCTATTGCCCCACATAAGCTAGCCCCACGTTCCACATTATGTGTTTTTCTGGGTTACTCATCCCATCACAAAGGCTTTCGCTATTTGAATTTGGCAACTCATCAAATCATTATTTCCTGTCATGTCATTTTTTATGAACACAGTTTTCCTTATACTTCTACCACTTCTATCTCACATAAACCAAATTCATCCTCTGATTTTCGCACACCTTTTCACCTTTTGGATACTGTTTTGCCTCTTAATTCTCCATCACCCATTAGCCCCTTCATACCAAGCCCAACCACAAATTCTTCTCCACAACTTTCTAGCCCACTTTCCAAGCCCACAACTTTCTCCAATAATGAGCCCGCCATCCTTCCTTCCCCACCTAATTTTGGTTTGCCAGCATACCACCATTCCACTCCAGCATGTCCGTCACTTGCTGCATGTCCGCCACTTGTTCCAGTTTCCTCACAACCTGCTGCATGTCCGCCACTTGTTTCACTGCCTCCATCACCGAGTGCTCAACAATCTTCTGTCCTGCCGAATGCTCAACAATCTTTTGTCATGCCTGCAATTGATACATCTTATCCTTGTTCTAGTCAGCATCCTCTTACAGCAATTCGCACACATCCTATGGTAACGAGGTCTCAAGATGGAACTCGTAAGGTGCGTCATTTGCCCTCTTTAGTTTCTACTACACTTTCGTTAATTGAGCCAAAAACTTTTGCTCAGGCGGTTCGTCAACCAGAGTGGTGTACCGCAATGGCAGAGGAGTATAATGCTCTTTTGAGCAATAATACATGGGATTTAGTTCCTTCTCCTCCTACTGTTAATATTGTTGGTTCTAGATGGGTCTACCGAATTAAGCAAAAATCAGATGGTACCATAGAAAGATTTAAAGCTCGTCTAGTTGCTCAGGGATATACTCAACAACCTGGTGTCGATTATGATGACACCTTTAGTCCTGTGGTTAAACCAGTGACCATTCGGACAGTCTTGACTCTTGCTATTTCATTATCTTGGCCGATTCATCAGTTAGATGTTAAAAATGCTTTTTTGAATGGTGAACTAGAGCAACCAGTATACATGTCTCAACCTCCAGGGTTTGTTGACAAACATCATCCTGATTATGTCTGCCGGCTGAAGAAAGCTCTTTATGGTCTTAAACAAGCTGCTCGGGCATGGTTTCATCGGTTTGCTTCTTTCTTGAAATCTTGTGGTTTTATTCAGGCTCGGACTGACTCTTCTATGTTTTTGTATAGAAACCGTGGGTCCATGGCAGTGCTATTACTATATGTTGATGATATCATTTTGACTGCATCTACTTCCTCATTATTATCTTCAGTGCTTTCTCTTTTAAAGGAGTTTTTAATGATAGATTTGGGACCGTTGAATTATTTCTTGGGTGTTTCTGCTACTCGTAATTCAGATGGTATCTTTTTAGAGCAATCCAAATATGTTCTTGATTTACTAGATCGTACTGGTATGTCTGATTGCAAGCCGGTAGCCATTCCTCTTGATTCCAGGAAGAAATTAGTTCTTAATGATGGTCCACGCCATTCTGATCCTTCTGGGTACCGAAGTATTGTTGGTGCATTGCAATACCTTACTTTCACTCGTCCTGATATTGCTTTCTCAGTACAGCAAGTCTCTCAATATATGCATTCTCCTACTGTTTATCATTTTCAGGCTGTGAAACGTATTCTTCGGTATTTGAAAGGCACTTTACATTATGGTCTTCAGCTTCGCTGAATCAAGACCATTTCTCTTCATCTTTTTACTGATGCTGATTGGGCAAGATGCCTTGATACTCGTCGATCCACATCTGGGTTTTGTCTATTTCTCGGTAATTCTTTGATCTCTTGGTCCTCTAAAAAGCAATCCACAGTGTCCCGCTCTAGTGCTGAGGCAGAATATCGTGCCATTGCTAATGCTGTAGCTGAAGCAACATGGGTTCGTCAACTTCTTCATGAGTTATATTTTTCGGTGTCTTTCCCCATTGTTCTTTATTGTGATAATATCAGTGCTTTATACATGTCAACCAATCCAGTTCAGCATCAACGTACTAAACACATAGAGATTGACTTGCATTTTGTTCGTGACAAGGTTGCATCTCAGCAAGTTCGATTGCAATATGTTTCCTCTCGTCATCAGTGGGCTGACATTTTGACAAAGGCACTTCCGATTATGCCTTTTCGGTCCTTGCGTGGCAATTTGTGCATCCTTTCTAATCCTGCCCAAATTGAGGGGGGATGATAGAGTATTATATATTAGTGAAGGGCAATTGTGTAATTCTGTCCATTATATGCTGTATATATATGAGTTTGATCAATAATAATACTCACAGCATTCACACTGTTTTAGGAATGTAGATCGTTGTGATGGGAGCAGGAGCAACACAAGTGCCCTCAGATTGGAGGTAGATAGGGGCATTGGCTTTAATCTCCTAAAGATTTGTGTGCAAAATCCCTAATGATATGTTTCATTTGAAGGAAATGAAGGGGTGGTGAGGGGAAGGGAAGGATGGATTTTTTTGATCAATCTAATTGCAATATTTAAAAATGTTATAATTTGATTGATTAAAAAACTCATTCTTCCCCACCATTTTTCTCAAATCAAACTTATCCTAAAGACAATGCTAGCTACACAATCGAAGGCAACAAGATGTAAAAGGGAGTGGCTTGTGGCATGGATGGTGGGTCAAGAGCAACATGCTAAGGCATGCTAAATTTTGGATGGCCAACGTATCAAGTTTTAAAGGGTTACAACTTTTGTCATTTTCTCTATGCTTTGTGTAGGATAGTTATTGTTTTTTGTTTTTAATTTTAGTTTTCTTAAATTTTACAATTACTAAAACCCAACACTAAAAATAAAAAACTTATAATTTTTTTAAGTTGAGTTTTAAAATGACAACAAAAAATATAAACTTGTTTAATAATATTAAACTTATTTTGTTCTTAATATTTTAATAATTATGACAGCATGTTACAAAAACACATTAAAATAAAAACAAAAAACCATAGTCATACTAAATAGAATCTTAATTTTAGCTTAGGGATTGAATTCTAAATCTATGATTGAAAGCATAAGTAATTTTACTATCAGATTACATAGTTGATAATCTAAATAGAACTTTAATATTTTTATAAGCTTGGTTTCTTTGATTTGGGTTTAGTCTAGGTTTAACTAACCGGGTATGGGAGACCCTATGAGCAAAGGTTTATGATAAATAAGGTGACAACCTAGATTTTGCTATTCAAAGTTTGCTACATAGGTTTTATTATAACAAACCAAAGAGAAGTGGGATCACAAAATCTATCTAGAATTTACTTTGGTAGGTGAACGATATTTCTTTTAAGAGGTGAAATGATAATTCTTTCAAGGGATTACTAATCATGCACGTTTTCTAAAATTTGTAATTTATGGCTATAACCATTTTATTTGTAGACTTTATAAACCAACTTCCTAAATTATTAATGGAATTGTCATTCATAAAAAGAGAAAGGGAGAACAATTTTAAGAGCAAATCTCCATTTAAAAATTATCTTAACATCTCCCTAAATTTGAATACTTTTAAGCTTCAAGTGAAAATCCCAAATGATTAAAAATTTGAAATGTAAGTTAATGATTTGACATCAAACCATAAGACATGTGAAAAAAATTAAAGAAATATAAAACCTATTTTCTATTGTATAAGTAATTTATCATTTGATGAAAACAAAAAATAGTTTTAACATCTAGCCAGATCTTATTTTAATTTAGAAATCAAATTTTTTCAACTTGAGAAATTGCAAATACTCTCTTATATTTTAACCCCTAAATTATAACAATTTTGACAATTAAGGGTAAAATAATGGAAATTAACTTCTTATCAAATTTATAGGAACTCGAAAAAAAAAAAAAAAAGGTTCAAGGACCAACCGAAAAAATTAAAACGACAAAGTGTCATACGTCGTTTTGAGGAATCCAATCACTCTCGTTCACTCCCCAAAACCCATTGATTCCTCCTCTTAAAAGGAAAACCAAAAAAATGAAGAGAAGAGTGATATTAGCTTTCTTTCTCACTCTCTTGCTCCTCCTTCCCCTCTTTCCAATTGGAATCCGATGAGCTCCCCCTAGACAACGAGGAGTTCAGTCTCGAGGGAGCTCCACCTCGCTTCCCTGAACCCGCATGCATCCCTGCTGCTACTAGATCCTCTCAGAAGAGGCATTCGGAGTCGGAGTCTGACTCCAAGATACATTTCTCTTTGGAGCATGCTTTCAGTGACTCCGATTTTGTTCCCACTGGCACCTTCTCTGCACGCCTCAAGACTTGGAATCATGGTGGCCAGGTTAGATTTAAAATCGGATGCTAAATTGTTAATCGTGAATTCATTTTTGATTGCCAGTTTAGCTTCTTGGTTGTTTTCGTCATGTTTGTTTGTTTTGGGGATCTGTTTAATTGCTAAAATAAAGTTCAAAAACTAAGGTACTAATTGGCGTTTACTAAAGAGCTTACACTTCCTCTTTTCCTTCTCTTTTTTCCCCCTTTTATCTCAAAAACTCAATGAAGTTTTTGAATTCTTTTGTTGAGATTTGAATGATTAATCCTAAATTCTTTGTCAATTACAGTTGGCTTGATGTTCTTTTTAGAACATTCCAATTATGACAATGGATTTGACATGCAATTTTTCTTTGTGACAGACAGTAACAAAGCTGCAGTTTTCAAGAAATGGTTTCACTGATGAGGAGAAGGAGAAGTTCAAAGTAATTGCATGTTATTTGAAATCCTGATTTTCGGTTTTTTTTTTTTCATCTTGGCAATAAATCATTGTACACTGCTTTGATTTGGATTGTTCTTTGTCCTACAGAATTTGCTTCAAGGTGATGACTTCTACAGGGTAAGACTCCCATCCAATGTTCTAAGTCCTGCCGAGAGGGATTATATTATCTCATCAGTCAAAGCGGTAAGTTAACCACTTAAAGGTTTTTTGAATTCAAAACTTTTTTATCTTTGTGGTCAATTATCTTCCTCTTGAGGATTTTGCTACTATTTCGTAAGCTCTTTAGCTTGTTGGTCAAATGGACATTTATTTTTCTGCTTTTGGATTGAAACTTTTTGACCATGTAGCTATCTGTCAAATTTAAGGTCTTTACCAACTTATGTTCAACCAAGCTCAAGAGGGGGTGTCTGCAATCTGCCTTAAATCTGTTGACCACACAACATGCCTTGAATCTGTTGACCACACAGCATGCCTTGAATCTGAATGTTTATTTCATCTCATTGTTTGATCTTAGTTGCTTTTATTAAGAACTCTTACTCTTAGCATTTGTTTAAAAGAAGTTGAATAATTTTTCCATAAGTTTTGATGCTATTAAAATTTGACAGTGGAAGTTAAGAGCTTTTTTGTTTGAATTTGAAACTTTAGTTTTCAAATATTAATTTAAAAAATGTAATACCATAATGCTCTTCCATCAATTACCAAATTATTCTGAAAATTTAATTATGCTGTCTCTTTTTGAATTTGTATGGTTCACCATCTTTTTGTTTAGCTGCAGAGATGTCTTCCATGAGAGGGTTTGGACTAGCATTTTGTCATACACGGTAATTTAGAGTTAACTTTACATGTGCTGCTGCATCATCCCCTCCCCCTCTCCTGGGTGTGTACGTAGGACAGGGTTTTGGATAATTGTTCTAATTTAGTCAAACCTGTTATGAAGAAATTTGTTTTTTCAACTTTGTTGTGTAATGTAATGTGTAAATCTTTCTAACACTTGTTTGAAATGGGATTACCTCTAGTTTGATATTTATCATATTTTTAAATGAAATTCATTATTTTTCCACTTTTAAAAAGACTTTTTTTTTTATTCAATCAATGGTAATGAGTTTCCCTTTTTTGGTGCTAACTTGCCTAACATCATGGTAAATTTTTATTGCTTTGACATGCATCTAATGTTTACTTGCTCATTTCTTTTTTAGATTACCATATGGTCAGTTTGTGTATAAAATTGGAAAATGTTATTTAAGGAGGTATATATGATGGTTGTCAGGATGAAACTTCCTTTTCTAGTTCTTGCTGTAGTTTGCCTGATTTCCGTTGCTCTTTTATCCCTACTGTTGCAGGAAGGTGTAAATATCTTGGCAGTCAATTATGGGTCCCCAGGGGCATGTCCATATCCTTGGCAGTTGAAAATTGTGAGTTACAGTTTATCTCTTACTTTTCTCTTGTTTCTCAGTTAGTTGAGCAAAGCAAACTACAGAGATTATAGCCTCTTCCTCAAATTAATTGTTGTCATTGTTGCCATTTGTTCTATTCTACAATTAGTTTAAGCAAATATCTTTAAAATGTGAAGTGTGAACTTTCCTTTCTGTTACTACAATATCTTTTTCTAAATTGAAGTTGTTATTTTAATGTGTAATGTGTAGAATCATACCTTGCCAACTCATAGATTTAATAGTAACTTTACATTTAATGGGTTATATGGGATCTAAATTTTTTCTCCAACACTTGTCCTAGATGCTGAATCTACAAGAAATTTAGGTCACTTTGAAGTTGCAATTTCAAATAGCATTTCTTCCGCAATAGTAAGGTCAATTAAGGTTCATAAGATTCAACAACTATAAACTCATCAAGTGTACTTAAGCATGTCATGGCATTCAATATCTATTATCTTCTAGTCTTTCAGAATATTTTATTCTTGCTGAGTAAAATGGAGGATTGATTTTAACATACTGATTTTGCAATATTAACTGAACTTTCACAAAGATTAAATGTGATTTCTTGCAGTCTTAAAAGTTTTTCTCTAGTTGTATTGTAATCTATGTTTGCTTTACCTGTACTACAGCCTTTTAAATGGGCCTTCAACTCCCACACAGTTTTAAAGAACAGTGAACAAGCACCAAGATATTCTCTTATCCATATTATTCGCTTGTTTTTGGAGCTAATGTTATAGCTCCTATTTTTTCTTTTTCTGATTTTTAATCTTCCCAACATTATTAACTCTTTTTTTATCTTCAATTTTATTGAGAGACATCTAATTGGAAGCTATTTCATGGCTTAAAGGAGAATTTATTGATTGTAAATTGCAATCTCATGCTGTTTCTCTTACTGTTTCAAGAGCATAAGATACAAGTCTTCCTCAATGGACAAGTTTGTTTTAGTAAATAACTTAAATGTATCCACTCCATGTGCAAGCTAATCATCATAGTATACAATTATACATCATATTTGCAAATTCTCTATAGCGATTTTGTTTTCATTTTAAGTGGCTTCTTTCAATCTAAAAAAAACAAAAGGGTTGCTTTCATCATTGCCTTTTGTTTTGTAGGGCTCCAATCTTCATTGAAGAAGTTCTGGGTGGTGAGAATGGGGAGGGTGAAGTTGTGCAGCCACCAGAAAGGTCTTTCCGGGCCAAATATGTAAGAAGGGAAGGAGTTGCAATTTCCTTTATGGTATGTTTGGTAACATGAATTTGATGCAGTGTATTTGAATTTGAATCTTTCAAATTCAATATTACTGTTTGTTTTTACATAAATATAAGGGAATTGAATTTGACTTAAATACATGCATTTTGTAAATAAACTCAAAATGTAGAGCAAAACCCAATAAGTTGGATAATTCAAAAGTAGAAAAATCATGTATTTCAATTTCCCCTCAAACCCAAGAATTTCAATTTCAATTTGAATTTCCTCTGTACTCTCTCCTCTCACCGACGGTGATGAAGCCTCCATCGTCCATCCATCATCTACTCTGCCGCTGCTCTACACCTTCTGATTAATGAATCGATAGCTTGAATCTGCAAGCATGAAAAATCTGTGCATCTCCCATATGGTATACCCAGAACTTCGAACAACCGCCAGACTCAAGTTTGGCGACAATTTTTATGTCTGGAGGAGCAAAGTTGGATTTGTGCTTGTCGACAATGGCGTCGATCACGTGCTCACTTTACCCAAGCTTTCAAAGGAAGACGACCCTGCTGGCCACGACAAGTGGGTCCTCGACGACATCACCGGTTGCGGCATTCTCTTGGGGTCTATCCATGAGTATCTTTTCATTGATACTTCCGAAGACGAGACGGCCAAGGCTTTAATGGACCGCATTACGGCTTTATTTACCAGGCCTTCCCTGAGCAAACGCTCGGTTTTGCTCCAGCAATACAAGAGGCGTTGGACGAAGGAAGGAACGAGCATTAATCAGCATATAATTGAAAATACCAGGCCTTTCTATGTATTCAGTTTTAAATACATTGTTTTTTAATATGTTTAAACAATGTATTTAAAAATACATGTATTTAAAATTTATTTTTTTATTCAATCTAAACAATGTATTTTAAAATACATGTATTTAAATTACATATATTTTAAATATATATTTTAATTACACTTATCAAATTCAAATTCAAGTTTCCAAATACAATTGTATTTTGTTTAAACCATGTTGAGTAAGACTAACTGAATCTTTTGTTTGTTGTGGATGTATTTGATATCCCTCTCGGATTCATAGTTATGAATGCCATAACCCAAGCAATGAATATACCCAAGGAATAGGCTACTGTTCAATCAGCATCACAAGCACAGCCAGCTGCAGCAATGCAGCGTGCATCCAATGCTGCAGTGTGGAGAAGATGATATTTAACTATTTTGGGGAAAAAAACTGGCTAAAATTTATACTTAGATTGGGTCTTGGATTGATCTTCATAGGTTTCCAATTGCACAAAAATGTTTAACTTATCTTGTTAATGAATCCAGTTCATTTAAAACCTCATTTAACCTAAAGTTGAACTTGACTACCAATTTGAAGATGTTTAGTGTCTCTCTTACTACTTTTAGTAACATACTTTTTTTTATTTAAATAATTAAGTACTCTTTCATGTTTTGCAATTTAGGTTGTACCTGCAAAACTGAGGATGGAGGAACAACCTTCCATGTTAGGGAACTTGCCATTCATTCAGCAGTTCTTGATCTGCAATCTTAACGACACATCACTCTTTCAAAAGAAAAATACAAGAAAAATTAGACATCTGTTTAGAGAAAATAGGGTAATATTGGACTATAAAATACTACATATAATATGATTAATGTAGACGGTTCCTCAGATCCTAAGGCATCTCGATAGCAAGGGGTATTCGTAGAGAGTCGGGAGCGAAACATGGCAGTTTGGTTTCAACGTATAATTTGGCATAGGTCATGCAATGCCTGTGGAAATCTACAACATCCTTAAAGCTATGGAACTTACATGGCAAATTAAAGAACTATAGCAATGCGATAGTGGCGCCTGATTCCTTGCTGTCAGTGCAAAAGATCAACCATGGAGCAACTTGTTTTGATCCATACAAAAGTTTAATCAACAAATGTCGAGCCTTCCTCTATGAAAATTAGTATTGTAAATTTTGAGATGGTTTTTAAGAAATCAGTATATGCAGATATCATGACTTTATGATTCTATTACTTGGACATGAGATTGGTATTATTTTGTTGAATTACCTATAAACGTAATATAGAGAACGACAAAAAGACCTTTTAAGTATTTATATGTGTGCCAAACCTTTACATTAATTCCTTATATATGTTTTAAAAAAATGATGTATTAGAATATTTAGATTTCTTTTAGTGTGGTTGTAATTTTGAGTTTTTAGTTTTGATTTTAAAAAATTTAGAAACTCCAAATAAAATTAAATAGCTCTATGAATTAATTAAATTTGAAGTTTTGAGTAATTATTTTAAAATTTTATACTCAATAAATTGCTAATTTTAATTTTTAATTTTAGTTTCTAATTAGGGAATAGTATTTATTTGCTTTACCTCTTAAAGATTAAGAGGAAAATCATCTTAAAATTACGTCATTTCAATAAAATCTCATTAAAAAAATACTAAAATATCCTATTTTAAAGTATGAATTAGAGTGTTTTTGTAATTTTCTATAGTTTGTAATTTTCTATAGTGTTTTATTAAAATTACATAGTTTTGAAATAATTTTTCTCCTAATTTTTATGAGCTAAAGCGGATAAGCACTAGTCCTTTGTAATTATTAAGTTTGATTATTTAAATTTTACAAACCAAAATTAAAAACTCAAAACTACAACCTACTAAATAGAGGCTTCGATTATGGATAAGAACAAATCTACTCCTGCAACTGCCATTTCTTCTCAACAATCTTTAAAACAAAACAAAAATAGTTGATTCATTGACAAATAAAGTCACCATAGTAAGTTCTGTAATTTGGGTCTCCATCCTTTTCCCTCTATTTCCCTCAAACAAAACATGCTAAAAGTGTGGAAACATTTATCAAGGATAAAGTTATGAATTAGTTTGGTTGGGGAAAACCCATTTTATAACAAATCATATATCATAGTGTATTTATTTTACCTTTTTTAAAACACCAATCAATTGTTGCCTCTAATTAATATAGTTAATATAGATGGTTTTTCACTGGGATCGTAAAGCCTCTCAACAATAGAAAGTATTTGCAAAGACCCAGAAGGAACATGGTAGTTTAGTTTCCACAAGCAATTTGGGGCATAGGTCATGCAATACGTGTGGAAATCTACGCCATCCTCTAACTTTTCATGGCAAAATAACTATAGCTATGCAATAGTAGAATCTAAATCCTTGATCACTATACAAAAGGTCAATTATATATGGTGCAACTCCTTTATGGAAATTTAATAAATAAATCTAGATCCTCTCTCGAAAAGAAAAATGGCACCATAAACTGTGACATGTATTTTGAAAAGCCAACAAATATGTATATGACATCGCTTCATGGCTCTACCACTTAGATATAGGTTGGTATTTTTGTTTTGTGAATTGTAAAAATAAATTTATTTTAAACTATAGGATATAAGAAGTATTTCTATCATATGTATAAATTGACATTATTTTGATGAATTGTCTATTATAATGGTACAAAAAAATAACAACAAAGGCCTTTTAAATGTTTGTAGTTCTCTAGTTTTTAGATTAATTCCTTTGTATAAAAAAAATTGATGTATTAGAATATTATAACAACAATAAACAAATCTAATCCTATAATTGTCACTTCCTCTCAACTATATTTAAAACAAAATAAAATAACAAAAAACGATGAATTGTATGTCGTTTATTCTATAAAATTACTTAAATACCCTTAAAAAAATAACATAAAACAAATTTTAAGGGCATTTAAAGCAGTCCGCCTGTAAAATAATTTTCTCATAAAATAATAGTTGGAGTAAGACAAACAAGTCCGCTGCTGCACCTGGTAATTCCTAATATAAGCTTTTCCTCACGCGTACAATTCCCATCTCAGCCCTGTCACCACTAAAACCCAAAACCCTAACTACTTCTTAACTCTGCTCCTCACTAGTGAACGGTCCTGCTGGGGAGACGCTCGGAGACTGACTCCGAGGAACTCGAGATCTTGACTAAATCAGATTCGAGTTTTGAAATTTTGTTTATTTTCTTTCCTAGGTAAGTAAGAGATCGAATTCAATCATTCAATTTGTCTTTTCATATTTTCCTCCCATTTTTAGTTTGAATGTCTTATTTATACACATGACTTTGCTTGTTAGTTTTACAGCTTCAAGTTTATCTCTGCAGATTTCTGTAAGTGGGTTTAGTTTACGAAAATGATTGACAACAATTTGTTGATATCAAATCCTCACGTTGAAGTGACTATTGAGCCTTTTATATGTATCCACCTTTTTATGCTCCTGCCGAATCGCTACGCATCCCATGTTATCTGGTTGGTTGTGAGGCTTTGTTGTCCTCAATGAATCATTTTCCTTTAGTTTACCTTTGATCGGAAAAAAATGGGATTTCTGATTGATTCTATAAATATGACAGTTTGAACAGTAATTTATATTGTTGTAGGTTGTAAATAGATTGTTAATAGAACATCTGAATATGGGTCAACAAGGAAAAAGCAGAAAAGAATAGAAAGAAATGATTTTGATTATGTTTATTGTTACTTATTATTCTCTTGCTTCCAAAAAAAGACTATTAGTGATGAAAATTGAAAATTAGTGTACTTCTATCAATTTGGTTTGGCAGATTAGCTTTTGAAGATGGTGCAATGTAATTTTAAGAAGATTACTTTGCTATCAAATGTTAAGGATTTCATTGACATTATTCTCTTTCGTACCCAATGACAGATGCCAAGTGTTGTGCACAAAGGTTATGTTATTTCTTGCCTCAGGCAGTTTTACATGCATAAAGTGAAATACACTCAGCAGAATTTTTCATGAGAAGCTCTCAACAATTATTGATGAGTTCCCTCGATTAGATGACATCCATCCATTCTATGGGGACATTCTTCACGTGCTTTACAACAAGGATCATTATAAACTCGCTCTTGGCCAGATAAATACGGCAAGAAACCTTATTGGTAAGATTGCTAAAGATTATGTGAAGCTATTGAAGTATGGTGACTCTCTTTACAGGTGCAAGTCTCTTAAGGTTGCAGCCTTAGGATGCATGTGTGCGGTTATAAAGAGGATTAGCCCAAGTTTGGCCTACTTAGAACAGATTAGACAACACATGGCAAGGCTGCCTTTTATTGATCCCAATACTCGGACAATCTTGATTTGTGGGTATCCTAATATTGGCAAAGAGCTCATTTATGAACAAAATCACCAGAGCTGATGTGGATTTCTAGCCTTAAGCTTTCACTACAAAGTCACTCTTTGTTGATCACACTGATTATAAGTACCTTAGATACCAAGTGATTGATACGCCTGGGATTTTGGACCGGCCATTTGAAGATCGCAACATTATTGAAATGTGCAGTATTACAGCACTGGCACACTTGTGAGCTGCAATTTTATTCTTCTTGGACATCTCAGGATCATGTGGGTACAGCATTGCGCAGCAAGCTGCTCTTTTCCACAGCATTAAGTCATTATTTATGAACAAACCACTGATTCTTGTCTGCAACAAGACAGATCTGCAGCCACTGGATGGGTTATCTGAGGAAGACACGAAGTTGGTCATGGAGATGAAAGCAGAAGCCTTGAAGACTGTGATGGTTCAGGGTGGCAAACCTGCAAATGCAGAAGGGGTCCTGTTGACTATGAGCATTTTGACTGAGGATGGAGTAATTGCTGTGAAGAATGCAGCTTGTGAGAGGTTGTTGGATCAGAGGGTAGAATTGAAGATGAAATCTAAAAGGATAAATGACTGTCTAAATAGGTTTCATGTTGCAATACAAAAGCCACGTGACCAGAAGGAAAGGCCTACTTGCATTCCTCAGGCAGTTTTGGAAGCTAAAGCTAAGCAAGCAGCAGAGAAGGAAAAGAGGAAAACAGAAAAGGATTTGGAGAATGAGAATGGTGGGGCTAGAGTCTACTCTGCTAGTTTGAGGAAGAATTATATCTTGGCTAATGATGAGTGGAAAAAAGATATAATGCCTGAAATTCTTGATGGACACAATGTGTATGACTTTGTTGATCCTGATATTTTATTAAGGCTTGAAGAGTTGGAACGAGAAGAGGGTCTTAGACAAGCAGAGGAGGGAGATGAAGACTTTGAGATGGATGGAAATGATTTGACTCCAGAAGAGCCAAAGGCACAAGGTGAGATTCGAAAGAAGAAAAGCTTGCTTATTCAACAGCATAGGATTAAGAAGAGTACTGCAGAGAGTAGGCCCATTATACGAGGAAAGTTGACAAGGACGGGGAGTTCACAACAGAGAGGATGGGCAGGCAATTATCCCAATTGGGGCTGGATCCTTCTTTAGCAGTTGATCGTGCACGGAGCAAATCAAGAGGGAGAGGTCACTTGACAGGAGAGATAGTGACGGTGAGGCTATGGATATGGATGTTGACCAACCGACCAAAATGCTACGCTTAAGGTCTAGATCCCAACCGAGATCAAAGTCACGGCCTCCAAGTGAAATTGTCCCAGGTGAGGGATTTAAGGCATCTAAACAAAAGGCCAAGGCAATCAAATTGGGAAATTAATTTAATTAATTAGCATGATGGATTTGAAATTTTGAATTGAATTCTATCAAAATTATATTTCAATCAAACTAAAAACTTTCGGGTGGCTTTATAAA